AAAGGAATTAGAGGTAGGAGAATCAGAGTTCAAGGTCATCCTTGGCTTACAAGTTCAGAGGTCAGCCTGGGCTACATATGATTATGTTTCAACAAACTTACAAGCAAAACAATAAGACTAACAACAGGAAAAGGTCATATAAGGAAAAGGAGAAAAAAAGTACTTATAAAAGTACTTATTCTAAATTTCATCCTGAGTGAGGTAACCCAGACTAAGAAGAACAAACATGGTATGTACTCACTCATAAGTGGATACTAGATGTGAAGCAAAGGATAACCAGAGAACAAACCAAAGCTCCAGAGAGGCTAGCTAACAAGGAGGACTCAAAGAAGGATGAATGGATCATCCTGGGAAGGGGAAATAGATGAGATCTCCATGAGTAAACTGGGGATGAGGGGTGGGCAAGGGAGGGTAGAGGATGGGGCATGAGAACACAAGGGAATAGGATGCTTGAGCTGGAACAGGGATGAAGTGGGAGAGCAAGGAAAGAGATACCATGATAGGAGACATCATGGGGATAGGGAGAAACAGGGTGCTAGGGAAGTTCCCAGGAATCCACAAGGATGACTCCAGCTTAGACTACTAGCAATACTGGAGAGGGTGCCTGAACTGGCTTTTCCCAGTAACCAGATCAATGAATACTCTTAACTGTCATCACAGAGCCTTTCTCCAGTAACTGATGGAAGCAGATGCAGAGATCCATAGCCAAGCATCAGGCCAAGTTCCAGGAGTCCAGTTGAAGAGAGGGAAGAGGGATTCTATGAGAAGTGCATCAAGGTCATGATGGGGAAACCTACAGAGACAACCAAACCAAGCTAGTGGGAATGCATGAAATTTAGATCACCAGCTGTATAGCCTGCTTGGGACTGGACTAGGCCCTCTGCACAGCGAGACAAGTATGTAGCTTGATCTGCTTGGGGGGGGGGGCTGGCAGTAGGATCAGAATCCATCCCTGATGCATGAGCAGACCTTTTGGAGCCCACTTCTATGATGGGACACCTCACACAGCCTTGAGGCAGGGGGAGGGGTTTCAACCTGCCTCTACTAAATGTGCCTCCCCATGGGAGGCCTTACCTTCTTGTAGGAGGGGATGGGGGTGGGTGGGTTGGGAGGGGGAGGCTAGAGGGGTGGGAGGAGGGACGAGGGGGATCTTTGATTGGTATATAAAATGAATAAAAATATTTTTCTTAAAAAAGTAATATTCTAGTTGGTCTTATACTAAGAAGTAGAGAAATTTGACTCACTGCAATGCTACACATTACAAGTAATAGTGTATAATTGTAACTACACATAATAAGCACTTGTATGTTCTAAAATTCTATAGCTATGTCAGAATGCCCATGGAATTATTGTAGTACCTAAAATGAGTTTTTATCTAAATAAAAATAGAATCATAATTAACCTAGTTATTGAAACTAGTTCTGTGATTCACTAGATAGCCTTTTTAATAGCTGCTTTTAATAGCTTTGAAAATGGTTGTTTCTCTTCTTGTCAAGACACACTTTGTAATGAAGGAATGAAAAGTGAAAGACAAATTTGGTAAATCAACTTTAACCAGAAGGCATATGATAGTTGGGCCTAGTGGCATACCCCTTTAGTTCTAGTACTCAAGTGGCCAAGGCAGGTGGATCTCTGTGAGTTCCAGGCCAGTCAGATCTACATAGTGAGACTCTGTCTCAGAAAAAGAAGGTAGATGTCATTTTTCTGTCATTCCCATTGTCATTACAATTAGGAATTAGAAAAAATAGGATTGTTGTTTTCTCTTTCTCTCTCTCTCTTTCTCTCTCTTTCTTTCTCTCTCTCTCTCTCTCTCTCTCTCTCTCTCTCTCTCTCTCTCTCTCTCTCTCTTTCTCTTCTTTTGAGAAAGGATCTCACTATGTAGCTCTGGCTGTCCTAGAACTTACTATGTAGACCAGGCTTGCCTTAAACTCATAGAGATCCACCTGTCTCTGCCTCTGGAATGCTGGGATTAAAGGCTTGTGCCGCCATGCCTAGCTTCCTTCCTTCCTTCTTAAAAACAGGTATCTTCTTATAACTTTTAATCCTTACTCACAAATGTGGATCATGAAGAATTGCTATTATTTTTCTGTAGCTGGAGTTTTCTCTCTGGGTCCCACCAAGCCCCGGCAGTCCCTTAGCCCACTTATAAAATAAACATACAGATGCTTATATTATTTAAACTGCTTGGCTATTAGCTCAGGCCTATCATTGTCTAGCTCTTATTATATTTAGCCCATTTCTATTAATCTATATCTATCTATCTCTCTCTCTCTATAAGCTCGTGGCTTATTGGTACCTTACATCTTCCTTGTCCTGGTGGCAGCTCCAGCAGTCTCTCTGTCTGCCTTCCTGTTCCCTCAATTCTCCTCTCTGTTAGTCCCTCCTATACTTCCTGTCTGGCTACTGGCCAATCAGTGTTTATTTATACAGAGCGATATCCACAGCATTTTTCTATTTCAATTGGAAATAAAACAAAACAAACCCATCTTTAATGTCCTTTAGATGATCTTTTATAGTTTCATTATTTTCAAATGAAGTACAGTGAAAGGCCAAGTTCTTCACTAAAAATAATGACTAATTTTAGAAATTCATGTGCTCAGTTAAAGATTCTGAGCTGGAATAAATACAAATTAGGTGTTCATAAAATTTTTTGATTTGTTTGTGAATATAGCTGCTTATTACTTACCACATGTGGAAATCTAACTACTCAAGAATTTCTTACAGTACAGTGATTCAACATACCAAGCCCCAAGAGTGTTCCACTTATGCAGGTGAACATCTTTACTGGAACATTTCTTTTTGAGTGGTTGCTTAGAACCATGTTTTGGTTCATTATGACACAGATTTCAGGGTTGTTCTTCCAGAAGACCCAAATTCAGTTTCCAGCACCAAAGCTGAGCAGCTCACAACTCCAGTTCTAGTAGTTCTTACACCCTCTCCTGGTGTGTGTGCACCCACACATGTGGCACACACACACAAATACACACGCACATAAGTAAAAATAAAAATAAATCTTTAAAGTCACTAAATCATGCTTTGTTTTGAAATATTTTCAGATGTCCATTAGAGTGACTGACATATACTCTCAGGCTTCGGATTTATAGTATAATGATTATGGAATTGAGTTTCACAGACTGATTGTAGCCTCATCTTTGCATGATCCAGAAACACTATACTGTAACTTTTTAAAATTTAAAATGTAAGAAAATCATGTCAGATCATAAAACCAGTCCTCTTATTGAATATATTATCTCTTTGGTGTTTATGCCCACATCTTCTTTAGTAACTGTATGGTAGGACTTTATCAAACAGATCTGTCAGTTCCTTTTAATGAAGAGACTATATTCACTTGTTTACTAGGTTTTTTTTTAAATACAGAGAAACTTGCTAAAGTACTGCACTGAATTTCATGTACCTCCAAAGGTGATCTCCTACAGTGCCATTTCCCCTAGCTTTAGGAGCTAACCCAGGATTCCACACAATACTCAATTGACATGTCTTTTTGGTCTTACCTAGTCTTAGAAATCTTTCTCTATTTTTTCATAAACTTCATACTTTGGATTCTGGATAAATTTTAAAAATGCTCTTCCAGACTCACAAGAGCTGGCTTCTGTACTATTGGCAAGAATGCTGCTGAAGTAAGGCTACAACACATGGTACTTGTGTCTCATTGCTGCTGATTTTTTGTTAGCTGTTTTGTTTACTTAGATATGGTGGTGTCTCCCATGTTTCTTCACTATTTATTTCCCAGGAAATGAATACTTGAAGAGAAGATTCTTTAAGATTATGAAAATAGCTGGCACTTGGGAGGCAGACCCAAGTAAATTGCTGTGAGTTCAAGGCCCATTTGGTCTGTCTTAAAAGAAAAACAAACAAAAAACAAAACCCCAACTACAGCAAAAGATTGTACAAATACCTTATACTTTTGTCCATGAAGTTTATGTTACATGGATGATTTTTTTCCTGTAATAGTTATTTCTTGGTGTTTTCATAATATAATTTATTTCAACCATACCTTTTATGTTAGAATTCTACTGTAAGGAAGGGTATTTAGTAAAAGTACTGTTTTCGAAATTATTCACGTTAGTCTATTATTTCCCACCCCTTTCTCTGTGGATGAATTGATCATTTGTAGGAAAGCTAGATTCATTTGTTACTATTTGTATTTAATATGAGTTGATTTTTAATAATATTTATTTGAGGTGAATATGCAATATTACTATAGTTTTAAGCATCAGAATGACATGAAAAACATCATCAAAACAGATTTCATTTTCTCATTCTTTTCATACCATTCTGCTGTCTTCTGTTGGCTTTCAATTTCGTTAACTCAATTTATTACTCCTGTAATTGTATTTGCACAAATAAGCAAATGTTTATAGAGATGACATTTTAATGTCTTTTTGTGGTACTGGGAAATTTGAATACTGATTGGTATATTTTCTTTTCTCTTAAGGATGTTATCCATAATTGGTCTGGCATTATTGTCAATGTACTAAATAATTGATGCAATTATTATTTTCTCGCTTGGAAAATACTTGTGGATATTTTTCTTGAACAAAAACAACAAAATTTGATGGTCTCATTAACACTGTGCTGTAGGATGTGTCTAAACAATGTAGCATAAAGCACTTAGCAATGTTTTTTTTGACTCATACATTTTTGCAAGATATTTAAACTTTTTATTTACCTTTATGATTTTACTTGAAGAGTCTGGAGGTGTAACTTAGGGATTTAGCATGTACTTAGCCTAAGTGAGGGCCTGGATTCAATCCTCAGCATTCCCCAGACCAGGTACGAATTATTTTAAGCACTAAAAGTGACAGACTGTTACACATTTGTGTATGTATATTTATTTATTATTTTATTTTTTGCATCTAGAAGTATTTTGGAGTAGCTTTTCTTATACACAAAGCCAAATAAAACATTTGCCTAAATCTGTTCAAAAATCTTGAGATGTTTTTCACTGTGCACTCTTTCTCTTTCCAAATTCTCTGCAGGCATTTGGGCAGTCCTTTTCTATCCACCGTAAAGTGGCTGAGGATGGAGAGACTCGGGAGGAAACACTTCTACAGGAATCTGCATCTAAGGAAGCTTACTATCTAAACAAGATCTTAGAGATGCAGAATGAAGTGAAACAGAGCCGGGCTGTGGTCACAAATGTCCAGGCAGAAAATGAGAGGCTCACAGCTGTTGTACAGGAACTGAAGGAGGTAAACAAGCCAATTCCCTTTAAGATTCATCTTTCAGGATCTAATTGTCTTTAGAAATCCCCTCACAGAGACACTCCACTAGGTGTTTTTAATCCAATTAAGTTAACAATCAAAATTAACCATCACAGATAAGGATAAGTTCTTAGTTTGGTGTAGCTGAAGTTTTCTCTGCTCCTGCCCAGCCCCACAGACCCTGCAGTCACTTATAAAATAATCACTCAGAAGCTTATATTAGTTAAAACTGCTCGCCATTAGCTCAGGCTTACTACTGACTAGCTCTTACATTTAAACTCAGCCCATTTCTGTTAATCTGTATTTGCCATGTGTTCCATGGCTTTACCTGTGTGCCATTACATGCTGCTCCCTGGACAGTGGGCTGGCGTCTGCCTGACTCAGCCTTTCTCTTCCCAGAATTCTCTTTGTCTGTTTATCCTGACTATACTTCCTGCCTGGCTACTGGTCAATCAGCTTTTTATTTATCAACCAATCAGAGCAACACATTCACAGCATACAGAACATCCCACAGCAGTTTGGTAAAGTTTGGTAAATCCTTAGTTTGATAGATGTTGTATAAATGTAACAATTTAATTAATATTACCATATGTATTCAATAAAATGATTAATCTTGTTTCCATAGCATTACTGATACTGGCAAAGGCATATATACTTAGGTGTTGTGTGTGAGATATGACTTTATGTATATATATGTGTGTGTATGTATGTGTGTGTATGTGTATGTGTGCTAAAAATCTCATTTATAAATGATAATTGTAGGGTAGCATAGTAAGAAAATTGTTGAATTAAATATTAGAAAAACAGTATTCTGGTCTCAACTCTGCTACTAGTTTTAGTATTATATTCAGAGTATGTGTAAGACTTATTTTAAAGTTATATTGCTATAATCCTGATCCATAATAAATAAATGCTGCTATCATTAATAACTTTGTATATCTTTCATGAACTATTGTCGAAGATATTACTCATCATATAGGTCTGTATTCTTACATTAAAAAACATTAGCTAGACAAGTGTGATGGTGCCCACCTGTGATAGCTGCATCTGGGAAGCTTCCCAGGCCAGCCTGGGCTGTGTTGTAAGACTTTGCCCCAAACACAAACCAAAAGAAACAAACAAACCCCAAATAAAACAACACAAATAAATAAAAAGAAGAAGAAGAAAATTAGATATATATCTTCAGTTTTTCATCTTGAAAGCCCTTTGGTTGTGATTTAAGGTAGACAGAAGGAATCATAGTAGTTTCTATTTTTGCTTTGGTCATTAAGAAGCTTTTGTCTTATGCTTAACTGTAAAGAATGACCTGAGATTTTCATATAATTCCTTTTACATTTTAAACAAGTTTTTACTTTTATTAATTTTTAACATTTTAATTTATATTTGTGTGTGTGTGTGTGTGTGTGTGTGTGTGTGTGTGTGTGTGTGTGTACACACACACTTGTTCTACAATGGAGGTCAGAGGAAATGTGCAGGAGTAGGTTCTCTACCATGTGGGTGACCTAGTGACCAAACTCAGGTTTTCAGGCTTGGTGTCAAGTATACTTACTGAACCATCCACTGGCCCTTAAATTTTTTTATTAGCCTTAGTGTATATGTATCTTTAATGTTAAATTATTTAAAATATTTTTGAAAGTATAGAGAATATAAAGAACAATTATTGCTTAAATCAAGAAACCAATTATGAGATAATAGATAATCTTAACCAAATTGGAATTAATACTACATAATGAGTAATAGGAGGCAAATTCCTAATTTCTTTTGACCAGCATCACTTTGGTAAAAATGCAAAGAGGTGGGTAGATTTCTGTAGTATATAAGTGGAGCATTGGTAAATAAGTTTGAATTTCATGTTTCTATCTCCCCTTCTTTTAGGTCTAATATATTAGAGTATAACCTAAATAGATTTATTTAGAGATTATTATAGAACACTTGTTTTGTACTAATCTACATTGCTTAAACTATAAAATTAGATAATGAAACTTTTGGGCTGGTAAGATGTCTCAGTGTATAAATGTGCTTATTGCACAAGCCTAGCAATCTGAGTTCAATCCCTGGAACCATGTAAAGGTAGGACAGAATGGACTGAAAAGTTGTCCTCTGACCTCTACCTGAGTGTCACAGCTTCTCTAGGTTGCCTCTTCAAACTCTTCCACCTTTCTCTCACAAACCATTTCCAAAAGCCTAAGAACCACATGGTCAGATTTAGCACAGCAACAGCCCCACTACTTAGTACTAATTTTCTGTATTAGTTACTTTTCTTGTTACTGTAACAAAATACTTCTCAAAATCAACTGAAGGAAGGGAGGCTTTATTTTGGCTCAGAGCTTGAAGGTTTAGTCCCTCATGGGAAGGTGCCTGGCCACATTGTATCTACAGTAAGGAAGGAGGGAGGGAGGGAGGGAGAGAGGGAGGGAGGGAGGGAGAGAGCGAGAGGAAGGGAGGGAGGGGAAGAGGGAGAGAGGGGGAGAGAGAGAGGGAGAGAAAGAGGAAGAGAGGGGGAGATGGGAGAGAGAGAGAGAGAGAGAGAGAGAGAGAGAGAGAGAGAGAGAGAGAGAGAGAGAGAGGCTAGCTTTCAATTTGCTTTCTCCTTTTTATTCATTTGTGGATGTTGTTACCCACATTCAGGGTGGGCCTTCCTACTTTAGTTAAACTTCTCTGGAAATGCCTTCACTGTAACATCATGATTTTTTTTCTCCTAAGATATTTAGAGTTCTAATAAGTTGACATTCAAGATGAACCATCACAATACCATAGCTGTTATGGACTGAATGTGTCTCCCTCAAATTCATATGTTGAAACTTAATCATTAGTGTTTTTGTACTAAGAGGAGGGTCCTTGAAGAGATAATGAAGTCCTGAATAGGATAAAAGGTACTTAAGAAACATTCTTAATCTCCTTAGTCACATTAAAGCAGCATCCCTTCCCTCTAGACAACACAGCAAGAAGGTTGTATCTTGAGCTGGAGAAATAACTTAATGGTCAAGAGCACACATTACTCTTTGAGATGACCCACATTTGATTCCCCAGCATCTACTTCAGGTAGCTTACAACCTCCTGTAACTCTGGATCCAACTCTCTCTGAGGGCAGCAATTCTCACACACATATACATATACAGACCAACATACATAAATATAACTAAAAATAAAGTAAATCTTTTTAGAAAAGGGCTCCATCTTGTAAGCAGAAAGTAGCCCTCACCAGACACTGTCCGTGCTGGCGTCTCAATTTTATTTAGACTTCTTCCAGAACTGTGAGAATTTTTTTTTTCTTTATAACTTTTCAAATCTATGGTATTCTGATGTAACAGCAGGGCTAGGATTAGTTAATAGCTAAATTCATGACTTGTTGGGACATTATTATAATTTTAATAGGATATGACAGTTGTATTTTAAATGCTGCCTTATTCCTATGTTTTTAAACCACATTAAAATTTCATTTTCCCTTCTCTAGAATATATAATTAAGTTTCATAATATGTCAATGACTCAGCTTCCAGAAATCTATTATATCTACATCTGTTCAAATGTAAGACATTTGTACCCATAGAGCCATAGGCTGAGAAGGCACCTCAGTGACTATTTGGTAATGACTCTCTCCAGGACAATAATTCTTTGACATCCCTAAAGGATGTATTTCTATCAGACACTTATGACATTCTACAGAATATATAATAAATTAACAAGTTCTTTTCAAGTAAAAGAGTATGTTTTATTTGCTACTTATTTTAGTATTTACAGCTTCAGGACAGTGCTTGAAAAAAACATTATTTGAGAAACAGTTTTTATTGAATCATAAAAATTAAACTAAAAGAACATGTTTTGGGAGTTGACCATCCCTGGGCTCAAATATCTGCTGTGCCACTTACCAACAACTAATCCAGGCAAGTTACATTTGTTTCCTTGTTAGTCAGCTTTCCGTTGCTGTAATAGATACTTGAGATAGCCAACTTATAAAGATACAGGGTTTATTTTGGCTCACAGTATAGGAGTTTTCAGTCCATGACCAAATGTTCCTGTTGCTTTTGGGTAAGATAGCACATTATGGCAGATAATGTATGTCAGAATAAACTAGAACTCACTATAATCCTTGTATAAAAAAAAGAACAAAAAAGGAAGAGGCTGGGGCTCCACTGTCCCATTCAAGGACAGGCCTCCCAAACTGGAAATTTCCCACAATACCCTACTTCTTAAAGTTTCTGCTACCTCCCCATAGTGTCAGACTATAGACCAACTCTTTAACACATGGGTCATAGTATTGAGTAAGCTTCTTTCTTCTCAGCATGGAGATGATAATACTAACAAATAGGCTTTGTTTAAATGCCTGATACAATAAAGGTTTGAAAGTAATTCTCATTTTCTATCTCTTGCTTTCCTCCCAATACTCCCTTGCTAGTGTGTGGCCACTCTAATGGTTACTCTGTGGTTAAATGAAAAATGGATTCCCTGTGTTTTACCAGTTGTATTTCTAGTTTCTGAATCCACAGAGAATAATTTCTTTAGTTTTCTATTTGTCTGGACAGGTTTAGCCAATTCCCAAGAACTTTAACTATTTGGACAAAACTGTCTTGCTATCTCTTTCTCAGAATGAGCATATCAGAGCCATTGGAACTCCCTCCCATGATATGGTCTTAGGTCAGCACCCTGGCCATTCTTTTTAGCATTGATTTGTAACATTTGTTTATAATGTGTTTTGTTTTTTTTTAAAGAAACTTCCACAGACTATATTTACCTTTGTTGGAAATCCTTAAAAATGCAAACCACTGGACCCATGTATTGGTTTTCTCCTTAAACATTTAACTCAGTTTTAATCCTTTTGGTTTCAATTTTTCTCTTGTTTATCCATTCAATATCTTTAATGCCTGTAGTAAGCTAGGCAGATGCCTTTAAAAACAATCTGTTCTCTTTGATTATAAGTTTTTTTTTCTTTTCAAGAAGGTCACAAAAGTGGAATCATTTAGTTTGCACTTTTTGAGATTGAATCCTTTT